TACAATAGGCAGCCCTGATCAATGATTCTCTCTCATCATTGATGTTTCTATCTCTCTTTCTCCCTCTCCCTTCCTCTCTGAAATCAATAAAAATATGTTTAAAAAAAGAAATAAGATTCACTCCCCTTATGACCATAGTAATGGTCATAACTATTTTTGATATTATCAGGTGGTTAAAAATATAATGGCTCCATAATTTCTCCGTGTAGTTCCTTAACCTATGAAAAATTATTTTCTAAAGGTAAATGAGTTGTACCTGCTTCAGTGCTAAGAAAGCATTTAATTATCACCTTTAGAGCTCTCCTTCCTATCCCTGAATAATACTAGTTTCCCACAGAAACCAAGCATATTTTAAAGCTTGTTTACAGTCATAGATCCTTTTAAGATAAAAGTGATCTGTTCCCAGGAAATTAATATGCATGCACATATGCATATTTTCATATAATTTCAAGGAGTTTATGAATATCCTTGAAGCCCTGATTAAAAAAAAATATTCCTGATTGAAAAAATATTTGTAGTTGATTTTTAAAAGTGTGAAATCATTTAACTTTTTCATTAGAGGGTACATGGAACTGCTGTTCTGATTGGAAGGGGCTCACTGACTTGGCGTTTGACAGGGTTTGGTTCCACCCAATGCTGCCTTGCTTCAGGAGACCACTGAAAGCTTGGCCCGTGATAGACTTCTCTCCTTTTGTATGGAACCTCAGGGAGCAGTTCGGTTCCAAACCAAGTCCAGGACTGAATGGCAGGAAGGCTTAGACTGCAGGGCAGCAGGGAGGTACAGCTCAGCCCAAGTGCAGATCACATTCCCTGTGCAAGTGTAGTGGCCACACTGGTCAAGCAGCTTGTCCTGTTCCCATACCACACACCCAGCCTGCACTCTGGCTTTGCATCTTCACTAAAGTGAGTGTCCTAGAGTCCCTACGGCAGAGGAAGGGCTGCTCCTCAGCACGAGAAAAGTAAGAATATATTTAATTAAAATAAAAAGTGCTGAGCAACTTATGATCATAGTAGGTTTAGAAATTGTTTTGTGTACTGACTAGTGATTTAATGCTGAATAAGGTCTATCGTTGTTGAGAAATGATAATGGAAAATTTCTCTAAGCCGTGGTTTATTTATCGATTTTATTTAGCAGATAAATAACCACTTCCAATATAAAAATAAGTATTAGACAATACCTGTGTGCTAAGGAAAAAAATCTAAATTGACACTTTAATGCCTAAACAATCTTTTTTCATTGTTTCTTTCATTAGAGTATAAATTTAGACATCACATAAAATGGTTCCAGGGAATAAATATTAAAGCCTATTGAGTCTATTCAAGTGATCTTTCCTAAGATAACGTTCTCCTGGAGGCCAGCCTGCAGGCTGGGCAAAGTGGGAACATTCTGCAAAGTGCAATTTTGGACTCCATACAAAAAATGAAAGGTGTGGCCAAGGGTAAGCAATCAAGGGTATGCAAGGTCATTTGGATCCATTCCAATGGACAAAACAAGAGGACTTCTCTGGTATCCCTCTGAGGTAGACTTGAACTAACATCCTTTAAATGAATGTTTGTTTCATAAATGGCATACAAGATTGCCATGGCAACATATTCATGGGTTTTCTCTGAAACAATAGAGGGAAGGAAAATGATTTTATTAGTAGATCATACACTTGGGGTTGCTAACATAAACTTTGAGGCCCATTGTCATTCTGAGAATTTAGTTTAGGGAAAAAAACCAAAACAGAACAGATGCTGCTGTTTGCCAGCTGGCTGTCGTGCTGTCTGTGTGTGAGGAGGAAGCTCTGAACTCTCCCCGTGCGGAGTGAGTGCTTTAAAGTCGGGTTTTGTTTTGCTTTACTGCATTTTCCCAGCAGTGGCAAAATCTCTATCTGGATTCCACTAGGCTTGCTGGCTTGGCCTTCTTGTGACCAAATCACACATGCAAAAGGCACTGGCCATGCCCTCTTATTGACCCGGCTACTTGGCTAAAGAAAGTCCAGGGTAATCTTGTGGGTCACAAGTTCAGTTTGCAATTTTCTCTTCACTATTGGGTTCAAGGAGAGAAAAATGGATTCACTGTCATTGCATCCCCCTTCTTGGGTTTCCATTTGCTCTTTTAATTGTTCAATCTGATGAGTTCAGTGACTAGTGAAGCTGGTGAGTCTTGCGGAATGTGGGCATGTCACAGAGCACAGGACCTGCTCCCGTGCGGCCTCACTGAGTGTGGCCAGCGTCACTGGGCAGGTGGAAGCCAGGACCTAGCGACTCTCCCACCAGTTTGCTCTCGCACAGACACTCTGCAGAGCTTCATGGGTACTCTCTTTTTCCAAGTTCACGTTCGCTTTCCTTGTGCAAATGTAACCTGTAGCTACTTTGTGTATCAGTGATGCTATGAGAATTTGAGAACCTCACAAGACTTGGTGAGCAAAATGATTGAACTGCAAGAATATTAAAGATGAGCTTGATAAGGATGCTGCAGCATCACAGCAGCTCTTGAGCACATGAAAAATGACATGACATTGCTTGTTACCTGCTCCATCATCAAGAAGTTTCAGCGTAACGGGCTCTTCAGTCTCTGGCTCAATAGTAGCAGTTACAGTGGCGTTGAGGATGGGGTAAAAGCCCTTCCTCACATTGGCATAGATCATCACGGGGTGGGGAAAAGAGGTGCTGTCTTTTTCTACAAAGGCCTCCACAGTAGCAGGAGGCTGGGCTGAGTGGGAGGCACGAGAGGTCACGGTCACTTTCAAGGACTGAAGAGAATGGTGGGTATTGTTCAGTGCGTAAGTCCAGGGCCCCGGCTGCAAAACAAAGGGGTTCTGCTTTGTCAGGTGTGAAGAAAAAGGTAAACCTTCATTTTAAACCATAAATCTAGGCGCCTAGAATTTTTTGTTCTTATCTTACTGATGTTGCATTTTCTAACATATCACAAACGAATGTCAGGAATAGTAATATTGCTTAAAATTCAGTATTTACATGGCTCTCACAGCACAACCCATTTACATTATTCAGCACCTCTTTCAGGAATTATACCCTGAATTTGTCTGTGGAGGAGAACACATCTTGAGTCACATTTTAGAAGATGATAACATTGTTTCAAAGCTTTAAAGTACTTTGCAAATATTAATCTGAGCCCCTCCACCCAAAAGGATAGTCAATGTTTTTATTTCTTTTATGTAAGGGAGAAAATTACAGTAAATTAAGCAGACAATTGTGATTTACGTGGATAACCTTTCCTAAAGGCAATAGTATCCTACCTTTCCTCCACTTCCCCCAAATCCTCAACATACCCCCAAATCTCAAGCAACAAAGCTCACATACACTATTAAGGATGAAGAAAAGGAATACTCTTTTTAATTGGTCAGGATTCTATAACATCTTTGTTGAGTACCTTATAAAAATATTGCTTAATGTCATCCTATTTTGCTTGTCTAAACTACGGGGGGAGGGGGAGTGGGGGAGACATACAAAATGTCTGAAAAAAAAGCTTAAACTGCAATGTAGCAGAAATTTGTTCTTTTGATTAAACTGTACATAAATCCTCCTTTTCCTCTCTTTCCTGCTGCTGCTCCTTAAACCCTGGAAGTAGGAGAAGGAACACAATCGAGCAGGAGGAACAAGAGAGGAAACAATGGGTTGGGGTGTGACTGTGACTCAGTGTGGAAAGGTAAGATGCCACCACACCTCACCCAGCCTTTTTTGTGAGATCCATGTGCTTTACCATTTTCCAGTGAAGACACATTTCAGGCATCAAGATCATCTATATCTATCTACCTACCTATCTCTATTGTAATCATAAAATTAGTAACAGATACATAGCAGGAAACTCCACATCAGAAACTTCTCTTTGGGTGTAATATGTGTGTTCCTATAGGCCTTATAGGGCACCTCATCCAGACTAAGAGGTCAGGCAAAGGCAGTGAGAAGCAGGTAAAGTGTTCCTGGCCCTTGTGCACAGGTGTGTACAGAACATGATGAGTTTGAAGAAAAGTTCAGTAGGAGCAGAGCACAGGATGTTTGGGAGAAGGGTTAAGAGATAAACTTGGGCAGAAGCCGGAAGATGAAGGGCTTGTTATGTAAAAGTAACCACATGAGTTTTATCCTGAGACCACCAAAGAGTTTTGAATAGGAGGCAGGTTTGACCTGGGTAGTGCTTCAATGCAGAAGGATCACCTGATAGAGAGATGAATGCTAGCCCAGAGGCAGGGAGGCTGGGGGAGGGAGAGCCACCAGTTATGAGGGGGGACTGCATTCAGTTAGTGCAAGAGTAATTGTGGTCAATTCACCACCCGGCTTAGAACCTTTAGTGGTTTCCCTTTGCCTTTAGAATTCAAACTTCTACTCCCTTCAAACTCCTACTCCCTTTACTGTCCTGCGGAGCCCCCTCCTGTTTATCTGTCTAGTCTCATCACTCCCTCCACTTTTCTCCCCCTAAACACCCATCTTACATGCTACTCAGTAGCTCATCCATATTGAACGACTTGTGGTTCCACGAAGAGCCATATTCCTTTTCTCTGAGCCTTTCTGTGTGCTGTTCACTCTGCTCAGAATGCCATTCACACCTTTGTCCCCTTTATCCTCCATATTTCCATTTTTATATTTTCACTTCGGGAAGCATGCTCCCACCTCCACACCTCATCCCATCTGCACATCCCTCCTGTATGTCTGAAAACCCTGTTCTTATTCATATCATGGCATTTTATTATGAAGCACCTAAAACAAGACTCAACACATAGTAGGTGCTCAAAAATATGTATTGCATGTATTCATAATATAAATTCTAGGTAGAGGGTTTTTCTAAGTGCACAGATAAGTCTGTCTATGTAGATTTTGTAAAGAAGGAAGTAAGCAAAAATAAATTATTTTTACTGCATACATACTAATTTCCTTTGTTAAAGTTTTGAACATGCATTAATTGTTCCCCTTAAAATTTTAGCATTCACAAAATGCCCTCATAAATTTAAAGTAAAATTTTGCTATATCAGAATAGGATTTCCTTTACACAATGCATTTAATTATGTGATTCAACTGAAAGTGTTTTACTTGACTAAATGTTGTCATTATGAACAAGCTCAGAACACCTACCTGAGCAGTTCCTGGAATCCAGAGGCGAGCAGTCCTCAAAGCTTGATTGATGGTAAAGTTATGTGTGTAGTATTTCCTCCCATTAGGTTCAAACAGTTCAATGTCAGGGGGCCCACTGGTCTGCCATGTGACTAGAAAGGTAGTATCATTGCCCATACTGTTATCCACAGTCACAGTGCTTTTCAATTGATGGTGAGGTTTAACATTCTCACCCATACTTTCAAGCTGTTCAAAAGAATACATATATATGAAGGTTTCTAGTGTATGCATAATTATTCCATCTTTTTCTTTTGTGACAAAAATGAATAGTAAAAAATAATTACTTAATTCTGACATGTAGTATATTTACATAAATCATTTTTCATGTAAAAATTTATTGCCAAAGCAAAATATAGTATATTATATAAGTACAGTAGTTGTAAAATATTTTGTTACAGTTAATACAAGTGTCATGCAACAGCATTTAATCATTGTCTATTCACAATGGATACAAGTTTATAAATAACTTTGAAAAATTTTATTTATTCAATAAATACATTGGTAACACTGTAAAATTCTCAAACTTGGGAAACATATAAACTTTTTTTGGTGGATGACAGCAGAGAAATTGTGGACTATTTGCTAAAATCAGTTTAACAAGGGTTTGTGAACTGCTGACCTCTATACCATATTCTGTGCTGGGCCCTGAGCTCTTGAAGGAGGTTAGATGTGGTTTCTTCTCAGAGTCTAGTGGGGCTAATGACAAAAGCAAGTGGGGAGAGGTGGCCAAATTTGAGAACATAAGTTTGATTTGAGCCATATGAATAATATTTTGTTACTTTTTAACACATTTGTTTTTATTTCATACTAGAGGCCCAGTGCACAAATTCGTGCACAGGTGGGGTCCAGCCCACCAGCACCCATCAGGGCTGATAGGGCTGGGCTGGTCAGGGGGAGGGGCCCTGGGCAGTTGGCGAGCTGACCCCACCCCCTGGTCGAACTCTGGTAGAACTCCCAGTCGAGGGGACAATTTGCATATTACCTTTTATTATATAGGATTATCGAAGAGGAAATCACAGGTAGGAAGATCATTCAGAAAGCCAATTGCAGTCTAATATATATTGTCATTTATAATTTACCTTTCTTCACTTCTCTTTAAAAATTTTTTTTTTATTGTTGACAGTATTACAGATAACCCCCAACACCCTCTCCCTTTTACACTTCTAATCATCGGATGATGGTTATTGCCTCTACTGTGTACATATAATTATGTTAAAAATTTTCTAGGAATAATTTACTGACTTCATTGTTCCTGTGAAGCCATTAACTTGGCAGGTTCACTTACCATCTGTGAGGAAACAGCAGATGAAATTTTGTTCAGTTATGTTCAAAATATCTTTAAACTACTTAGAAGAAAAATTTGAGCCCCTTTAAGAATTAGCTTGATTAGAGGATGCTTTTGTGAACAAAATCAAATAAACTGTGGTTGTTAAAAAGATATTTAGGAATTTTTAGAATTTAATGGAATAGTTGATACTTTTTATATGCGAGAGGAGCTTCAAAGAAGTTTTTGGATAAGCTAAAGTAAAATGGATTCTGATTTATGGAAAGTTAGTATGGAACTGAAACTAAATACGTGATTTTTAATTTTTCTTCTGGGCCTTACCTCCACTGCATTCCCATCCTCACCCCCATTTTGAGAAATGAGGAAGGAGCAAGTTCTGCTTATAGAACTTGAAAAGCAATTACAGAAAATGACTCCTAGGGCTGAGAAGTACGGACATCAGGTAGAAATGAAGCCTGGCTCTGGTGATGCCAGGAAGCTCATTACATATTCAAATAAGGTGAATGAGGCAATTAACCCAATTCATCTATTTTCGTTGTCCCCCTCTTCCTCCCCACACCAGCTATAAGTATAACATTGAGGAGATTCTGACCTGAATACATTGTTGAAAAATGTCTCCAGTTCCCGAGGAAATTCTACTGAAAGCATCAATCATGCTATTGGAGGTTGATTTATCTGGAACAAAGAACTTTAAACCTCCTGAAATACATGATTTGGATGTTAACTCTTAAAATGTATAACAGAATACAAAAATAAAATTTAGGCCGTTTCCAACAACTTTTCTTTGCATAAGGGGGTTGGTTCAGGAGAGCTAGGAGCAGTGCTTGATTTGCTTTGCATGGCGCCCTCACAGTCACATAGTGAGCAGCACAGAGGGGTGGTTTTGTCTCTTCTGTCCACAGATGTAATATGAGGGTCTAGAACTCTACTCCGTACATGGTAAAAACTCAATAAATACATGTTTATTGGTCTTATAATGAATATAATTCCTGGATAATCTAGGTTAATTGTGATCTATACTGCTATATATTTATATTTACATTTTGAAAACATTTTAAAAAGTAATTCAGTAAAACTTAACTTTCAGTTTTCAAGTCAGCATACCCATTTTTATTGAATCCTATCTAATAATAGAGAAACATGGTAATTAGCCGTACCTCCGCTACCCTTCCCATTGGCTAATAGGGCGATATGCAAATTAACTGCCAACCAAGATGGCGGCCGGCAGCCAGGCAGCTTGAAGTGAACAGGAGGCTTGCTTGCTTCAGTGACAGAGGAAGCCAACGTTCCCCGCCTGCGGCTGCCGGCCTCTGAGCTTGCAGTTTGAAACATTGTTACAAATATAGAAGCTAAACAAAACCCCAGAAACCTGCTTTCAGCCAGCCGGGATCTCAGAGCTGGAGTTGAAACAGTGTTTCGATTATAGAACCCAAACAAACCAGATACCTGCTTTCAGCAGCCTAGGCCTAAGAGCTGGAGCCAAGCCTCAGAGCTAAAGCTGGCCCAGAATAAAAAAAAA